TTACAATCTGGTTAGTTGTCTGTCTTGCCTTTCCTCTGAGTGTAGTGAGGCGGCCAGTGCCTCATTCTTCCAGGCTAAAATAATCTTGTTTTTCTACTAATTCCGTTGCTTGTTAATAAAGGGCCTAGGCCACATCTGCCTTGTCATGTATCAATTCATGACCCAGTGGTGCAGATCCAGCCAATCTGTCTGCCTGTTCATTACCCAATACGCCGGCATAGCCTGAAGAAAAGATCCGAAGTATGCTCACTACCCGTGACCTTTCCAGTGAAGCTTGCCACTCTGCTTAAAGCATCCCTGTCTTCACCTTTCTCAGCATGCTTTAAGAGTCTGTTGCAATAACGATATGTGTATGCATCTTGTTCTCTAGCCACCACTGCAGTTACCGCCTCTACCTCCATTATCATGCTAGATGTTGTGGTGTCGTTTGCTAGGTTATCTTGCACTAAAGATTGTCCATTGGCTTTCGCTACGAACCATCTGTAAAGATAATCGGATCACCTGGACATGAATTGTCGTGAATCAACTGTTGGACTTCCACCTCAGTAGCACCCGCTGGTCACTCTCTGCACTCCCGGTCCAATGTGATCATAACCATACACAGGTCAGACTTTTCCTCTGGTACTCTGACCTACTTCTCTCCTTGCCCAATGTTCTCCAGAATGCATACTTGTCTTATTGTGTCTTCTGCTTGAGCTATCCACGATTTTCCCCTTTTCAGACTCTGGCCTTTCCTGTGCCAGTGCAATCAAATGAAATCTCCCTCACCTTCGTGTTTGAAAAACTTGTGAACAAACAATTAGCCCCGGAACAATCTAGAAATATGCGCAAGAAGCAAGTACACATTTCAGTTCACAGAGGCGCCAAAGCTAACAGTCGCCACCAGAAATGCAGTCCGTCGTTGATGGAAGTAGTCGGGCACGACAAGTTAGCCATACTCACGTAAAATTACGATATAAGGTATTCCACAAGCTCACACATAAACAGGCTACCAGCTATACTAAACACCACGACACAACCGCTGCACAATTGAAAGGCATTCCACAGGTAAAATACATCTCGTAGGGCTGCACCAAGCACTAAACTCAGTAGCTCAGGCAGCGAAACCGTAGACTGCCATCCACCTGTGGAAACTGCATCAGCAAAGCGCTGTTGCAGACAAAAACAACCCCGAAGCGTAACATTCTGCCATGCCTCCGCCATTTTAGGCTGGAAGTCTTCTCCACATACAATTTAGCCTACTAAAGCACCTGAACTTGCGAGGAAAGGAGCGCAACGGGCACTTAAACAACTGAGTGAAGCCGTCGAATATGCTTTGAGCTGGCTTTGGACGCAACGGAACGTCGTGGGGGGGGGGGGGGGGGGGGGGGTAGACTTCGGTAGACTGTTCCGAGCATCTAGTGGACAGGGACGTTACATCCCTTTTGTGAGCCTTGGTGTCCGATTAAAGTCTGCCAGTTCCCTCTGCCAACTGCCAAAGTCTAAAGTCTGTCTGATGAACCAATCGTAAGCTTGTCACTCTGGTCGTGAAGGCAGGCGCATAATTTGCTACCGTAGCGATAATATCTAGCACCAAACCTCACAATACCTGTTGCAAAGCCATCATTTCGTCTTGTCCAAACGTCCATTAAAGTGCAGCAGACGAAGTCAATGGCCCGGAGTCATAAACCAGGCCAACCCACACTCCGAGATTGTCAAAGAGGATAAAAGGCCGAAACATTTGTCTGCGAGGGACCCCCTACTGATGAACGGTAGATTCCTTATGTGAATGCTTCCCTGTTGGGTTCTTATTATTATTACTTATGTGAAAACCCAACACTTCACATCCCACCATATATGTCAAAGCCTAGAATTAATGAAAGCCTAAAACTTCAAACTCGAATTATATGTCAGAGTCTAGAATTAATGGAAGCCTAATACTTTACATCTCACTTATATGTTAAAGCCTAACTTTAATGAAAGCCTAGCACTTAACATGTCATTTATATGTAAAAACCTAGAATATATGAAAGTCTAACACTTCACACCACAACAAATTAAAGGCTGAATGAGGTTAAACAAAAATAATCAATGAATTATGCGGAAGTAGGAGTAACAGAAATAATGATATATTATCTTTCATAGCTATCTTTTTCCTTTCCATTAATACATCCCTATTGGGCCTCGCTTCTAGTACATAAGGGGACATCAATGCAAGAGTGGGAGCTAAGCAGAGCTAATGGCCATCTGATCTGGTACACAGAAATGAGAGACAAGAAAGAAAATGGACAGCGGCTGCTCACACTCTACTGTTTCCACAAGCTGTGCGTCACAAACACCTATTTTAGTGTGAAACCCCAACTAAAAGTCTCTTGAAGACACCTCTGATCTAAGCACTGTCATCAGATTAATCTTATTCCCACTAAACATAGTGAACTTCGCCTTGCCAAGGTCACCCGTAGCTATCAGAGCGCAGATTATGACACAGATCATTCCATGGTGTGCAGCAACACGAAGTTACTTCCAAGCAGAACGCATCGAACAAAGATCTCAGTAAGGCTTTCGATTATGTTAGCAGAGATGGCCTGTTCAAAATCCTTTGCTAAATACGGCTACCCACCCAAACCTCATTGAATCTTTCAATGAGAATATAGTAAAACCGTAATGCATGAATATTCAACATTCTAGATTTGTAATGGTGTAAAGGGTTGTCGTGTTCTAGCTCCCACATTGTGTGGCATCTTATTCACTGCGTGCCTTTGGACAGCAACTGAACTGGTACATTTTCGAACGAGGTCAGATTTTTTTTTCAGTCTATTTAGACTTCGTTCAAGCAGTAAAGTGCAGACAAGATGCCTCAGAGTTTTCCTAGTTGCGGATAATGATGACAGGGAACAGTGTCTGTAGGTAAAGGGCCTGTTATATGGGTCTTTCTAGTCTGTCTGCGCTCTTCAGCTGCCCTTTTTCTTGAAGTCTGGCAAGTTACTGCCACTCTTCGGATAGACTTTTGCCATGTAGTCACTTGTTCAGCAGACTCCCAGGTGGTAGGATCTATATTAAAGGCTTCAAGTGATACCTTTAGAGTGTCCTTGAATCGTGTTTTCCCTTGTCACCAACAGAGCGTCTACCTTCCTGTATCTCACACCGTGCAAGATCATCTTTGGGAGCCGATGGTCTGAGAACCGAACGGCGTGACCTGTCCATCAAATCTGTGACTACATCAGAGTGGCATAGATGATTGCAATTCCAGCTCTATCCGATATGACAGTATCCGAGACAGAGTCTTCACACTTGCATTTTCTAAGTAGTTTTCTTAGACTGTGGAAGTGTTTGAGCTTCGTGGTATGACGTCTGTACACAGTCCACATTTCACAGTTATACACCATCACAGTCGGTTGGATGTGTTATGAATGAAATTATGAAACAATAACTTGCGTGATAAATTGTTTTGAAGTGAGGATGATTTGCGCAATGTCGTCGACTCCATTCTCTCGTATGTGTCCATCTGGATCCAGTGGCAGGACAAGTCGAGACGGCTGGAGATGGAAGTCAGGTGCAGAAGATGACCAGGATGTTCTACGTGCCTCACCGTGCCTCTTTGCTCATGCATACTTATACCACACTCCCATACACGCCAGCCCACACTCATGTATACACACGCACACACCACTGCACTCTTTCTCATACTCGTGCTCGCAAGTGCGCGCGCACACACACATAAAGACTCCTCATACACGCGCGAGCTCGAACACACACACACACACACACTCTCTCTCTCTCTTTCTCTTACTCGAGCATGCGCGCGCACGCACGCACACACACACACACAAACCACACGCGCGCGAGCGCAAACACACCCACGCATACACAGATATTTGTTTCCACCCGAAATGTGTAATTTCCAGAACTTGTCAAGTTACGCCTATTTATCTAGTTATGTTGTAAATTTGCTTTTACTTTGAACATCTCCAGTTTTCAATTCTCATGAACGAGCTTTCTGAGCAATTATCCGAAACGAAAGCAGGACGTTTTCGTGGAAACGGTGTCGTCTGACTGTAGTTGACCTGTGAAGATGGAGTTTGTGTCTAAGGTTTGAAGCCAGGTAGGATCTAGGGTCTGTTGTCTGCTGGAAATTGTTCACATCGTACTGTATAGTTGTTATCTAACGTTAATTGTAAGGTTCATGGTAATCATTGTGTAGATTTAGTTACATTTTCGTTATGAGTTTAGTAAACTTAATTATTATTTACAATTGTATTTATAACTAAGAAGATGCTGCTGTCAGAATTTTCGAAAACGAAACCCTCTTTTTTTCCCCTTTTTCCTAGTCCTACAGTTTTCTCCCCCCCCCCCCCCCCTAGCTTTAAAAAAAAAAATGGGTGGGTCAGGGCCCCCGAACCAAAGGCTTCCGCCCTTTCAGCTCCTCTCCAGGAACATTTCCTTCATCATCATCATCATCATCAGTTTCCACTTCTGCCTTCAACTCTTTGAGTCCCAGGCTGTTTAGCATCAGAGACCAAAGGGGTGGTGATGCATTTTGGTTTTGTTTCACCAGTGTAACACATTAAAACAATTCAGCTGCCACACAACAAATACATATTATACATTAAAGGCCTCTCCTCCGAACTTCTACCCGATATTATGGCGGCCAAGCAAAAAGCCTAACAGGGCCTATATGTTGGACATATAGTTGGCAGTTTTAGCATTAGTATCATTTTCAGCTTAATTGAAGAGCGGCTTTCCAATTGGTTAGAAGACAGGGCCCAAATAAAATGTGAACCTGAGGGTCCATGTCGACAGCACCAGCTAGCTATGCAGTCCTAAACTATCAGGCTCAAAATCACCAGTCTCAGATGTAACACTAGATGATGATAATGTTGATGAACATGAAAAATAAAAGCATAAATATGTGTTTAAATGTTAAACCTGTCTTTTGTTTTCTTTTTTTTCAGTTTTTCACAAACACAACACAGAACACGATTGTCTCGTTATAGCATGAGTCTGGAGCAGCTTGTTATAGCATGAGTGTGGAGGAGGTGGGTGGCTTGAGTCAGCATTCTCATAGTGGAGATGAAGAGACAGAAGCACCAACAGGCTCACAATGTTTAGAACAAACTGAGGCAGCTGTTGGCCTTGTGGCAGCAAAGGAAAAGAATGAAGACTCGGATGTGGATGTGAATGAAGACAAAGACAGCAGCCATGAGATCTCTGTAAAAGTAGACAACAAAAGGACATACTTTAAAAGAAAACTGTTTTCTAATTCAGAAGTAATCAACAAAGCAGGGCATGTGAAAGGGAGGAAGAGATTTATCAACATTGGCAGCAACAGAACTGAGCTGGTAGGAAGCTCAGTTAAAGGACAAGTCTCACGGAGAACCAGTGAACACACAACCATTACCACAGGTCATTTATCATCAGGGTCAGCTCAATCTACTACAGCAAGACAAGTTACTATGGGTTCTATGGTGTGTGGCTACTCTGAGCTTGAAGACAAGGCTGACAAAAGGCAAGAAGTAAGTTGTATCCAAGTCTATACATTTTATTTGGTAGCAACAATGCAGACTGCTTTGTATGGATTTTGAGAGTCATGTTGAGAGCCAAGCATTCAGAGAGTGTAGTTCCCTGTGTGAGTTCCAGGGCCCTATTATATGGAAAACAAGAATAGACCCACTGACTACCCAAAAGCCTGTCGTAAGAGTCGACTAATTGGGAGCTTTCTTCGAAGTCGGAGTGCATCTGCCTGAGAGGCAAGGAACCAGCAGTCTGCACACAAATGCGTCAGATCTGTCAAACGGATGCACATGCAACACTCAGGTTCTGGAACAGGACTGCAGTCCAGAAGTGGAGGGACAACCAGAGTTTTACAGCTGGTGAACGCAACGAAGAAGAAGAGAGTAGTGGTAAACTAGTGAATGCAAAATTGTCAACTAAAACCAAACAGCTGGAAAATGCTGGGGTTGATGCTTCTTCTTTACTTCCTTTTTTTTTTAACCACTTCACATATGGAGGGAGATACAGGCTTCTGATGCTTGTTCTTCATACCATCTCAACCGCAAATAGTGGGATAGTATTGTAGAGTTTCTCTGCTTTCTTTGTTTTTGGTCTACCTGAGGCTTTACATCCCTCGCCTTATTTGCTCTATGCCATGCATGATATGACATCACAAGGCATTCTTTTGAAGTATAATAACCATTTTATTTGCTGTCTTTGGATGTAATTTAGTATTGGTTCCATGTCAACTTGTCTCTTGTGCCTTCATTCCTGATTTGATGTCTTCTGCTATCTCCAGCAGCCTGTCTCAGCATGGTATGTTCGCACAGTTTATTACACTTATGAACTGGATTTGTTTTATCCAAAAGTGCAGCTGGAACTACATCGGCCATGCGTTGAGAATCAATAAGACAAGACTTTCCCATCAAGCTCTCATATAGACACTGGAAGGGCAAAGAAAATGAGGAAGACCAAGAGAGACTACGTAGAACCTTTAACATCAAAGGCTCTGTCATGGGCCAAACAAACATCCAGGACCTGAAGCAGGTTGCAACGAACTGCTAGATATGAGGAGCTATGACCTCTGCCCTATGCGCGCCCCTCGGCCCAAGAGGAAAGACTAACTAACTGTACTTGTTGGTATATAAGATGCTGCCTTGTATAAAACACATCCCAAAAATCTAAAGATGTTTTCCAGAAAAACTCAGATAGAATGCATAAGTCTATAATTCCAGTCATTTTGCACTTTCTCCATGTTGTGCCCACTTTTATTTTTTCATTTTGCACTTTTTCCACGTTGTGCACACTTTTCTTTTTTTCATTGTGCACAAACCATCCTGTTGGGACTGGCAAAGCCTTATGGGTTTTTCTCCATTGGTGATCTGAAATGATATTCTACTGAGCTGTTGCTTGCTTGCTTTTTGTACCTCACCATGATATCACACAAACGGACACAAAGTGCCACCATGCGGATGAGGATCACCATAGAGAGGTCCCCAAAACCCCTTTTAGCCGTTATTGCCACATTTGTGGCCCAGCTATATTCAGGACCCCTGCCAAAAGAGCTGTTGCCCTGTGCTTCAGTATATTTTATCACCTGGAGTTTAAAACACACAGCATAAAAATTCCGCTTACTATATTTTCCATATGGTGGGCAACTGTGAAAAATAAAAGTCCACGTAGGCCTACCTTTGTTGTATAAAACACAGCCTCATTTTTAAACCTATTGCAAGATGATCCCCAAAGATGTCCAAAATACCTGCAGTCTGAAACAAAAACGCTGAGACCGAAATCTGACTGACAACCTTCAAAGCATGAGGAAATGGTTGAACACTTCCCTGTGGAGTATTCCCCGGCCCAATCCTCATTTGTAAGTCATTAATGTAGCAGGAGTTATTTTGGTTTCTGGCTGTTACCTTCTTGACCAGCTATAGAACTAATTTGCATTAACAAAATAGAGAACAGTTTGTGTGTCTCTGTTTATCATCAGTTGATTAGGGACATTACAACCTTGCAGCATGTCTTTGGTTGACAGCTCTACTTGTTAGTGCTCAGGGTGGTGACGAGCTACATCTGAGATCTTTCTAGTTCTATTTCAAATTCAAATTGTGTGGTTTGGAGTCATCTGTAACTGTTTAATTTGTTAATACAGTCTGCCCACACAAAAAAAATATATTCTGCAGGTGCTTGAAGTGTGTGTTCCAAACTTGAATGCTTGCGGTCTCACGTGTGCATTGTGTGGTACATTTCTGTGGTGAGCATATAGACTGTTCCAAAATCATCTCCGAGGAAGCTAAACGCTGTATTCTTTACAGTTGTAGTTCTAAGCTTGTTCTCAAAACCACAAGTAATACCATGGGCAAGGCTGTTGAAGAAGTGTTTGCCACTGACGCCAAGAACCCATGAACCGATCTTAATCTTGTAAACTGGATATTTTGGTCTGATGTTTTCTGTTTTCTCTTGAAAGTTGATGACAGCTGTCATTTTTCATGAACTTTGGCCCATTTTGTTTTGTAGGATACAATCTGCTGGACAGGGGCAACTCTGGGGAAACATTATGTTCATGGTAGTTATCATAGCATTTGATGATGATGATGATTATTGTTTGTGAATTAGAGTTAGAAATGTAATGTCAAGTGTTGCCTCATGGAAGAATCATCATTTTCAGAGCTCAAAGAAGAGAAGGCAAGAAAAGTCACATGACCCTAACAAAACCAAGATACCATCTCCTAACACTGGAAGACATCAGAGTTCAACAAATGTTAAAAGATACCACCAGCCAACCCTGGACCACTATGAGATCCGAACCCGAACAGCACAGAGAACACACCAGGAGAGGAATGAAAAAGCCAGACTTCACAAACATGTTGTGGACAGAGATACAGAGAGCTACAGGAATGGCTATCCTGTGAGTGTCTTCTAGTTTTTTGTGTGTATTTCTTCTGTTATTGTCATCAGTGACAACTAAAGCATATTCAGCATATGGGGCTACATATATATTTTATAGACCAGTCGGCACTTGTTCTTCCCAGCACTTTACATAGTACCTATTTAAGGCAGAAGTTCACTTGGGGGTCAAGGTCATTTTTTAGGGGGGAAAAAATGGCTTTTTTAGAATTTGAGCCCACAGCCTTCGGGTCTGCAGACGTGGTTTACACCATGGCAGCTCTCCCCCCACCCCCTTTCCCTTCTAGTGACAGCTAACATCCATCTTATTTCTGCTGTTAACTCTTTGAGTCCCAGGGGGTTTATCATCACAGGCCCAGGGGGTAGTAAAGAAAGTCATAAAATCGGCGCATCATGCGTTCATTGGGCTTCTAGGTAGGAATCTATGAACGTATAATGCGTTCCTTGGGACTCAAAAAGTTAACTTTCCTAAGAGAGATTGCTCTTTTTCCAGTCATCACAAGTAACTATATCTCATATATCAACACCTAGTGTATGTGAAGGTCTGACACTTCACATCCCACTGGCAGTATCCCCTGTGCGGCTACCTTTACCTGTTATACAGATCAAATGGAATTACTATGGTAAGGCTATGAAACCAATCAATCAGGTGCCTTCTCCACAGTGAAAGTCGGCTGCAGTGGATCTCCAACATGCTCAGTCTTTTACTGTGGATGTACACTGTTGTCCAGTGCTTGATTTTGTCCTCCCGCATGTATTGCTTCTATCTCTTGCTTGTTTGCCTTCAGTTTTCCCCTCCAGTATAGTTCTTAAAAGAGTGTTATATGTCTTTTAATGTGGGCATATAATTTCACCTTGTCTCTCTTTATTTTTAAATTTTCTGAGTCTCTTGAATACCTTTGTATTTGATTCTTGATTGTTTCTATGAAATGCAGTAAATTCTTCGGGATGTGCACATTGCTAGATCCTCAGTTTGACTTTCTGATTGCATGTTCATTGTCCATGTTTCTGCCCCAAATATTAGTGATGAGTTTATATATTTGACAATTCCCAGTTTTAATGTGTTGTTTATAACCTCCGTCCCCATGTAGGATGAATTTTTTTTATTATTTTGAAGCCCCACCCTGGTTGTAGCCGGGGGCCCTAATATAACCTAACAGTTGAACCGGGTTTCTGGGACAGTCCACGGGTGATCCACATCCAAATGGTGGCACTTTGTGTCACCAGGTGTTTATCACTGTGTGTGATGTCCTGGTGTAGTAAAAAGTCAGTCAGTGTGTTGTTTACCTCTTTAGAAGTCTCATGTTTCCTCATGTTGTCTCATATTAAAAAATTTTCTAGCATTTTATTCGCTTTCTGCATTTTTTATGACTTTAGTCATCATCTGTAAACACTTGTACACGTCTGAGACTGGATAAACTTTTTACTTGTTCTGTTATCTTTCAGCCATGGTGTAGTGACCAGATGCTTGCATGCAGATCCAAAGGCTGTGGGTTTGAATCCAAACGTTTCCTGACTAAAAAAAAAAAAAAAAACCTTGACTCCCATGTAGACTCAGGCCTTAAGTGAGCACCAATGAAAAGAAAGTCCTTGGAATTAAACGCAGCCTGTGGTTTGTTGACCACATCACCCACCGAATGTCAATTGAAATGTATAATATATGTCTAGCACTGTAAGCTCAATGTGCTTAACTCTTTGAGTCCCAAAGAACACATCATACGTTCATAGATTCCTACCTAGAAGCCCAATGAACGCATGCTGCGCTGATTTTATGACTCTTTACTGCCCCCTGGGCCTGTGATGCTAAACCCCCTGGGACTCAAAGATTTAAAGGTGTGGAAACGGGTTCTTTACTCTAGTATTAGCTCCCAGTGATGTTTTTATTTTTTGGGTCTATGCTTGTTTTATTATCTGCAGTCATCAGTCATTCATATCTTATTTGGTGATATGTCTTCAGGTGGCAGTTCTTCCTTGTAGGTCCTTCGAATTTCTCTCATATTTTCATTTCGTTGAAGTAAAGATCTGGAGACATCAAATATCATTATTGCCCACCTGACTTGCAGGTATTTATAGTTTACCGAGTAGCTTGTCTCTACACCTCAGGAGTAGTAGAGGTTAAACTAAGTAAGTCAGTGAATAACTTTAGTGACAGTTTATATGTGGGAGGGAAGAGATTACTGCTGTGTCCTGTCCTTAAACTGCCATTTGTGTTACCACTTTAAAGGTGATGTAAGGCTAAGAGGTCTTGATGTTGATAATTTAGGGTTGCATGGCTATTACTGTCACCATAAACTGCAAGATTCAAATTCATGTCTTCTGGATAAAAGACCAGTGATCTAACCTCCCAGCCAGACAGTGTTCTTGCTACTATGAGTGACTATAAAAAACATGCTAATGATTTATGACATTTCACCCTGCAGGGCAAGGAGGATAACCCACATCTGAATGACAATCTCAGGTTTTACAGAGGGGAGATAATGTCAGTTCCAAGAGGTAAACATTTCAGTGTTAAGTGTTCTAGTAAATAGGAATCTAACATTGTTACAATGAAAATTATTCTTTGTCTGTCTGTATTTCTCTGCCTCCCCCTCCCTCCAACCAGTGCACAGACTCCTAGATACTTTGTCCTTCATTCCACAGATAATATCTTTCTCATTACACAGAAGATATCTCCTTCATTACACAGACATATCTTCCTTACTACCCAAACGATATCTCCCTCATTACACTGACAGTATTTTCCTTTTTACACAGATATCTCCCACATTACACTGACAGCATCTTCCTTATTACACAGATATCTCCCACATTACAGGGTTGCATATATTTCATTGAGTGGGGAATAGGCTATCAAAATAGTCACTGCACATCGCTGCACACATGAACTGATTTCCAGACAATCTCCTCACATGTGTGGGTACAGAAAATATTAGTAAAACAAAGATCAAAGAAATTCGCCACTTTAAAAAATCATCAGCATTTGCACAGTAGTAAGTTGTAGAATCATAAAGGCAGGAGAAATCTAAGGTCACCTGCACAAAATTACTGTTAATCCGTGCAGGAGTTTTTGAGATATTGAAGTGTGACAGCATGAGTTGTGAAATACACTACAGCACCAAAACCTACAAGTTTTAGAGGGTGAGATAGACAGCTTCTTCACTTCACAACCTAGACTTCACCCCTACCCTTCCCTGGAAAAAAAAAAGATTACAAACAGAGGACATAATTGTGAGGTGCGGGACTTCTTTGTAACGAGTGTAAAAGTGACTAGGGGTGTCGCAAGTTAACAAGTGGCATCAACACTTAACATGCCACTGGCCAAGAGTAACAGAACATGATGAATGCTGAAGCTTCCAACGTAGTAGAACAAGAACTCTCTTTAAAGTTCCATTTGGGTATTGACAAATGCAATGATCAACTTCAAGAATACATATGCACGTAATAATCAACTCGTTCAACTAAAGCTCGCTCGTACATCCATGTAATGATATGTCCTCACGATAGGTCGCAGTCCGACCTTGAGATCCAGACGATTTACTTTCTCCTCGGACAAGTCCGAATTAAGCAATGAAAGTATACCGGCTTGCTGCCGAGAATGTAGTGCTCACCAGCTTCCTGCTGAGGTCTTGGAGTCCCGGGGTAAAACGTCCTCAAGGATCCAACTTTATATAACGTTTGCTTCCGTGGGATCCCGGGGTAGAGCGTCCTCAACGATTCCCACGTCCGTCTCCTTCGAACTATAAACATCAACTCCTTTTACCATAATATCTTAACAACGTTACGTATTGTTTTGACGTCTTATTTGCTCACTCCGTACTGGTGCGTTCTGGTGCACATTCGCACGCGACAATAATGAAGAGAATTCATAAGATTAATTGTATATCATATCAAGTAGCTTGGACATCATCACATCTTTACATCTGTGATCATGAGGTAAGGGAAGAAGTAACAGAGACATGTTGTGCTATATCTGTGATCTTGAGGTTAGGGAAGAAGTAACAGAGACATGTTGTGCTATATCTGTGATCTTGAGGTAAGGGAAGAAGTAACAGAGACATGTCGTGCTATATCTGTGATCTTGAGGTAAGGGAAGAAGTAACAGAGACATGTTGTGCTATATCTGTGATCTTGAGGTAAGGGAAGAAGTAACAGAGACATGTTGTGCTATATCTGTGATCTTGAGGTAAGGGAAGAAGTAACAGAGACATGTTGTGCTATATCTGTGATCTTGAGGTAAGGGAAGAAGCAACAGAGACATGTTGTGCTATATCTGTGATCTTGAGGTAAGGGAAGAAGTAACAGAGACATGTTGTGCTATATCTGTGATCTTGAGGTAAGGGAAGAAGTAACAGAGACATGTCGTGCTATATATGTGATCTTGAGGTAAGGGAAGAAGTAACAGAGACATGTTGTGCTATATCTGTGATCTTGAGGTAAGGGAAGAAGTAACAGAGACATGTTGTGCTATATCTGGGATCTTGAAGTAAGGGAAGAAGTAACAGAGACATGTTGTGCTATATCTGTGATCTTGAGGTAAGGGAAGAAGTAACAGAGACATGTCGTGCTATATATGTAATCTTGAGGTAAGGGAAGAAGTAACAGAGACATGTTGTGCTATATCTGTGATCTTGAGGTAAGGGAAGAAGTAACAGAGACATGTTGTGCTATATCTGTGATCTTGAGGTAAGGGAAGAAGTAACAGAGACATGTCGTGCTATATATGTGATCTTGAGGTAAGGGAAGAAGTAACAGAGACATGTCGTGCTATATATGTGATCTTGAGGTAAGGGAAGAAGTAACAGAGACATGTCGTGCTATATATGTAATCTTGAGGTAAGGGAAGAAGTAACAGAGACATGTTGTGCTATATCTGTGATCTTGAGGTAAGGGAAGAAGTAACAGAGACATGTTGTGCTATATCTGTGATCTTGAGGTAAGGGAAGAAGTAACATAAACATGTTGTGGTATATCTGTGATCTTGAGGTAAGGGAAGAAGTAACAGAGACATGTGCTATATCTGGGATCTTGAGGTAAGGGAAGAAGTAACAGAGACATGTTGTGCTATATCTGCTACCAGGTGCCTACATTGATGATATCCATGAGAACTGGTGGGGTGACTACAAGCTCCTGGAGAGTCACCATGGCTACATTCAGTGGTGGGTATATTTTGCCATTCCATTCCATGTTCAAGAGCAGATTTGGTTATAATTGTGGTCTGGCTTCTTTGTGCCAGTTTTGTGTGTGTGTGTGTGTGTGTGCACACGTGGGTGAGTTTGTACATCTTTCCGTCCGCACTTAGCCATTATAAGTTGCCAACTGTGCCTACTGGTTAGAAAAAATATGACTGGTACTACTTACCGTCGCATACCGCCAGAAAAAAGCCCTAGTGCTAGCACTGTATGCATATAGACCAATTTGTACTTGATAGGGAAACGGAGTCAAACATCTTTACTTTCCATTTTGGTCTGGTATATTTCAGTCACTCATTGATAATTGATGTGGTCAGCCACCTTTACTTCCCTTGTTTGTGTGGTATATTTTAGCCACCCTATGTCATTCTGATAGGTGATTTAGTCAGCTGCTCTGATAGGTGATTTAGTCAGCTGCTCTGATAGGTGATTTAGTCAGCTGCTCTGATAGGTGATTTAGTCAGCTGCTCTGATAGGTGATTTAGTCAGCTGCTCTGATAGGTGATTTATTCAGCCGCTCTGATAGGTGATTTAGTCAGCCGCTCTGATAGGTGATTTAGTCAGCCGCTCTGATAGGTGATTTAGTCAGCCGCTCTGATAGGTGATTTAGTCAGCTGCTCTGATAGGTGATTTAGTCAGCCGCTCTGATAGGTGATTTAGTCAGCCGCTCTGATAGGTGATTTAGTCAGCCGCTCTGATAGGTGATTTATTCAGCTGCTCTGATAGGTGATTTATTCAGCTGCTCTGATAGGTGATTTATTCAGCTGCTCTGATAGGTGATTTATTCAGCTGCTCTGATAGGTGATTTATTCAGCTGCTCAGATAGCTGATTTATTCAGCCACCTTTACTTCCCATTTTAGGCCGGTGTATTTTAGTCACCCTGTGTCAGTCTGATAGGTGATGTAATCAGGCGCCTTTACATCCAGCCTGTGTTGGGCCTGTATATTTTAGTTACCAGCTGTCACTAGCTGACACATGATACTCTGTAGCCAAGTGCAAGATAAGGGTTTGTTTATCACTGTTAAAGCAAATTCCTGGTCTTGACAATTCAACAGAAATAATTATGCCTTATTTACATATATTACAAACATTTATAAACTGTTTCCCGCACAGAATAGAGAGAATTAAATGATTTGATAAAATCACTGGTGTGTAGCTTTGGGACACTCTTGAACAAATACCAGCTAATCAAGAGGTGAAAAAAAAATTGCTGACATTCGATAGGACACACATTAAGAAAAATGTATAATGCTTTTGGAACATTATAACTAGAATGTCATTCCACTGGAACTCACAGGGTCATAGAAATAAAAGCAGACCAAAAAACACATGAATAAGGGAATTAGGAGTTCCAAAGATGAGGAAGACCTGGGTTGAGCTGCATGAGATAGCAAAGGATAGGATGAGTTCGCATTAGTTGGTTGAGGGCCAAAAGACAGAGGAAGAAGGTATACGCATTTTAGTAATGTTATCTCTGTGTGTGTGTGTGTGTGTGTGTGTGTGTGTGTGTGTCTGTGTGTGTGTGAGATATATTACTTTCATCGATAAAGACAGGTCCATTTAGAGAGTGACACATTTTAGTAATGTTATCTGTGTGTCTGTCTGTGTGTGTGTGTCTGTGTGTGTGTCTGTCTGTGTGTGTCTGTGTGTGTGTGTGTGTGTGTGTGTGTGTGTGTGTGTGTGTGTGTGTGTGTGTCTGTCTGTGTGTGTCTGTGTGTGTGTGTGTGTGTGTCTGTGTGTGTGTCTGTGTGTGTCTGTGTGTGTGTCTGTGTGTGTGTCTGTGTGTGTGTCTGTGTGTGTGTCTGTGTGTGTGTCTGTGTGTGTGTCTGTCTGTGTGTGTCTGTGTGTGTGTCTGTGTGTGTGTGTGTGTGTGTGTGTGTGTGTGTGTGTCTGTGTGTGTCTGTGTGTGTGTCTGTGTGTGTGTGTCTGTGTGTGTGTGTGTGTGTCTGTGTGTGTGTGTGTGTGTGTCTGTGTGTGTGTGTGTGTGTGTGTGTGTGTGTCTGTGTGTGTGTCTGTGTGTGTGTGTCTGTGTGTGTGTCTGTGTGTGTGTGTGTGTGTGTCTGTGTGTGTGTGTGTGTGTGTGTGTGTGTGTGTGTGTGTGTGTGTGTGTGTGTGTGTGTGTGTGTGTGTGTGTGTGTGTGTGAGATATATTACTTTCATCGATAAAGACAGGTCCATTTAGAGAGTGACACATTTTAGTAATGTTATCTGTGTGTCTGTCTGTGTGTCTGTGTGTGTGTGTGTGTGTGTGTGTGTGTGTGTGTGTGTGTGTGTGTGTGTGTGTGTGTGTGTGTGTGTGTGTGTGTGTGTGTGTGTGTGTGTGTGTCTGTGTGTGTGTGAGATATTACTTTCATCGATAAAGACAGGTCCATTTAGAGAGTGACACAGTTTTGGACTCAGTAAAATTATATGGATATGGGCACACCCCACACAGACAGGCACGCACATGCACACCTTATATTGATAAGACACACACCCATACAGATATGCACACACTTCCCAAGCACATACAAACATCAACATACACACCCCACGCACATGCAGACATGCATACACCGATACAGATATGCACACACTTCCACACACATACAGACATGCACATACACACACACTCCCCACACACATACAGACATGCACATACACACACACTCCCCACACACATACAGACATGCACATACACACACACTCCCCACACACATACACACATACAGACATGCACTGCCCACACCTGGTAACAGTTGACTACATCATGTATGTTATCACCTTGCTACCATTGTGTCTGTGCATGACATTCCCCAGGCTGTTCCCAATTAGAGAAAGTGGAATGAATTCAAAGGCACAACCACTGCAGCTGCATGAAGCCAAGGTAAGTCAACAACCTTTTCTCTGTTTCTTGAGGCATCTTGAGTAGAGGTACTTTTGCTTGCAGTATAGGACTGCTGTGAACAATCTGAGAATACTTTTGCTTACAGTATAGGACTGCTGTGAACAATCTGAGAATACTTTTGCTTACAGTATAGGACTGCTGTGAAAATACTGAGAATACTTTTGCTTACAGTATAGGACTGTTGTGAAAAATCTTGTGAACAATCTGAGAATACTTTTGCTTACAGTATAGGACTGCTGTGAACAATCTTGTGAACAATCTGAGAATACTTTTGCTTACAGTATAGGACTGCTGTGAACAATCTGAGAATACTTTTGCTTACAGTATAGGACTGCTGTGAACAATCTGAGAATACTTTTGCTTACAGTATAGGACTGCTGTGAAAATACTGAGAATACTTTTGCTTACAGTATAGGACTGTTGTGAAAAATCTTGTGAACAATCTGAGAATACTTTTGCTTACAGTATAGGACTGCTGTGAACAATCTTGTGAACAATCTGAGAATACTTTTGCTTACAGTATAGGACTGCTGTGAACAATCTTGTGAACAATCTGAGAATACTTTTGCTTACAGTATAGGACTGCTGTGAACAATCTGAGAATACTTCTGCTTACAGTAAATGACTGCTGTGAAAAATCTGAGAATATTTCTGCTTACAGTATATGACTGCTGTGAACAATCTGAGAATATTTCTGCTTACAGTATAGGACTGCTGTGAACAATCTGAGAATACTTCTGCTACCAGTATATGACTGCTGTGAACAATCTTGTGAACAATCTGAGAATACTTCTGCTACCAGTATATGACTGCTATGAACAATCTTGTGAACAATCTGAGAATACTTCTGCTTACAGTATATGACTGCTGTGAAAAATCTGAGAATACTTCTGCTTACAGTATATGACTGCTGTGAACAGTCTGAGAATATTTCTGCTTACAGTATAGGACTGCTGTGAACAATCTGAGAATACTTCTGCTACCAGTATATGACTGCTGTGAACAATCTTGTGAACAATCTGAGAATACTTTTGCTTACAGTATATGACTGCTGTGAAAAATCTGAGAATATTTCTGCTTACAGTATAGGACTGCTGTGAAAAATCTGAGAATACTTCTGCTTATAGTATATGACTGTTGTGAACAATCTAAGAATACTTTTGCTTACAGTATATGATTGCTGTGAAAAATCTGAGAATACTTTTGCTTACAGTATAGGACTGCTGTTAAAAATGTGAGAATACTTCTGCTTTTAGTATAGGACTGCTGTGAACAATCTTGTGAACAATCTGAGAATATTTCTGCTTACAGTATAGAACTGATGTGAACAATCTGAGAATACTTCTGCTTACAGTATAGGACTGCTGTGAACAATCTGAGAATACTTTTGCTTACAGTATAGGACTGCTGTGAACAATCTTGTGAACAATCTGAGAATACTTATGCTTACAGTATAGGACTGCTGTGAACAATCTGAGAATACTTTTTTTTACAGTATAGGACTGCTGTGAACAATCTGAGAATACATTATGCTTACAGTATATGACTGCTGTGAAAAATCTTGTGAACAATCTGAGAATACTTATGCTTACAGTATAGGACTGCTGTGAACAATCTTGTGAACAATCTGAGAATACTTTTGCTTACAGTATATGACTGCTGTGAACAATCTGAGAATACTTATGCTTACAGTATAGTTCTGATGTGAACAATCTGAGAATACTTCTGCTTACAGTAGAGGACTGCTGTGAACAATCTGAGAACATGAATTTACCTTTGGTCATGTTTTCTTGAGATTTATTTATGGCACAGTAAAAAATGAAACAAGATAAAGAATGCAAAAGCTGGTAATCTACTTCTAAATGGCTGATGGTGTGTCCCTTAATGAATGTGATTGTTAGCTGTTGCTTGTAGCTCTTTTTCTGCAAGTTTATCAACTTTTCCACATCGTATATATCTCATATATCTCAATGTGATCATGACATTTTTCAAAATAGAAAAAAAAGAAAACAACCTTGAAGCCTTGGAGATATTTGTTTATTTTACAGAATGCTTCAGATTCAATCAAACACAATATAATAGCATCTAAGCTTTTGTTTTCAGGCAATCAAAGCAGACAAGCAGGCCAAGAAAAGAGTGCTGATGTCATACAGATTGATGCTGGACTTTTATGGGATGGAGCTTACAGACGACCAAACAGGGAAACTGAAGCGGTCACAGAACTGGAGGAAATGCTACGATAACTTGAACAGGTCTGTAAAACTAACTGCTGGTTTTATTAGAGATATTGACATGGAGATCTGATTGTACACATGATAGAAGATAAAAATATCTTTATCTAGGAAGAGATCTGATTGTAAACATGATTGAAGATGAAAATATCTTTATCTAGGAGAAGATCTGATTGTAAATGTGATTGAAGATGAAAATATTGTTCTCTAGGAAAAGATCTGATTGTAAACGTGATTGAAGATGAAAATATCTTTATCTAGGAGAAGATCTGATTGTAAACATGATTGAAGATGAAAGTATCGTTATCTAGGAAAAGATCTGATTGTAAACGGGATTGAAGATGAAAATATCTTTATCTAGGAAGAGATCTGATTGTAAACATGATTGAAGATGAAAATATCTTTATCTAGGAGAAGATCTGATTGTAAACGTGATTGAAGATGAAAATATCTTTATCTAGGAGAAGATCTGGTTGTAAACATGATTGAAGATGAAAATATCTTTATCTAGGAGAATATCTGATTGTAAACCTTATTGAAGATGAAAATATCTTTATCTAAGAGAAGATCTGATTGTAAACATGATTGAAGATGAAAATATCTTTATCTAAGAGAAGATCTGATTGTAAACGTGATTGAAGATGAAAATATCATATCTAGGAGAAGGTCTGATTGTAAACGTTATTGAAGATGAAAATATCATATCTAGGAGAAGGTCTGATTGTAAACGTGATTAAAGATGAAAATATCTTTATCTAAGAGAAGATCTGGTTGTAAACATGATTGAAGATGAAAATATCGTTATCTAGGAGAAGATCTGATTGTAAACGTGATTGAAGATGAAAATATCATATTTAGGAGAAGATCTGATTGTAAACATGATTGAAGATGAAAATATCATATCTAGGAGAAAATCTGATTGTAAACGTGATTGAAGATGAAAATATCTTTTTTTAAGAGAAGATCTGATTGTAAACATGATTGAAGATGAAAATATCTTTATCTAGGAGAAGATCTGATTGTAAACATGATTGAAGATGAAAATATCTTTATCTAGGAGAAGATCTGATTGTAAACGTGATTGAAGATGAAAATATCCAAATCTAGAAGAACCTTTAAAAAAAATAAAGACAGGTATTTCCCAAATTTTAAAATAACAAACATTTGACACAGGTCACTAATTAATTGTAAGAACAAAATTTATCACTTACATAAAAAAATTTTTTTTTAAATTCCAAAATATATGAAGGGATAATCAGTAATCGCAAATGGAGTGAAACATAAAACGGATTACAGTCAAGCTTCCTTCAGTGTGCACCAATTGACTCCCTCCGTTGTAACTGACTATTCCCCTTACCATTACATCTCCACCACCGTGCAGCAGAGCTTCATCAACACAATTTTGGGCTAAAACTTCATGAAAAAATTTATGCATAAGACAAAATGTTTTTGATATAGACACGTTTTTTTCCAGGTGAGTGAAAGATGAAGAAGTCCCAGGCTGTTAACAATGTGTATGGATAAATGCATGTGTTTCTCTATCCATCCTCTGTCTATCTTTGCTTTCTAATTGGGCCAGTTTTTCTCCATTTTGCTCAACCTCTCTGTCTCTCTCAGTACATACTTGTGGGTGCAAGAAGATGGGCGTGCGTGCATGTGTGTGTGTATGTACCTGCATGCACAGGCTTGAATGTGCGTGCGTGTGCGCGCGCGCACGCGCGAGAGAGAAAGAAAGGGGAAGGTGGATAGGGAATGGGGGAACATAATGATTGATGATAATGTTTGCTTGTTTATTTCTTTCTTTCTTCACTTTGACCCGATTAATTGGGATTATTCTTAAACTTGTGGTTCCTTTGAACATGTCACAGGTCACCCCACAATTACCTTCGAATCACCCGCATCCTCAAGTGTCTTGGAGAGTTGGGCTATGAGCATCTGAAGAAAGGGCTGCTTCAGTTTGTGCTGGAGGAAGCGTTAATCCACCAGACTTTGGGCCCCACACTGGCAAGTTGTCGTGATTATTGGATAGGTACAATCAAAGATGTCCAAGACAGAGAGGACCTGTACCAGTTTATTGAAGATCATCAAGGTAGCAGGAACTAGTGAAATACGGCAGCTTTTGTTGAATAGACTGTGTTAAACAAAAGTTCCTATTGTTGCTTTTGTCATATCACTGTCCTGTGGTGATCACATGTTTTTTGATGATTGCAGTTTCTGAATAGCTCTAATGAAGAACATTTTTGAAGCTTCTTTGGACTTTCACAGAGTATGAAGTTTGGTGTTGATTCAGTGGGCCAGTATATCTTTCTGAACTCATTAAGTTGCAAACAACTTCTGATGTGTCTTTGGCCCAGCCTTTGAGCCCCAACAGCAGATAATGTTTTCTGTTACTTTTTAACATTTAGCCATGGCATTTGTAAGAAATCTGGCTTCTCCAGTGAAAGTTTCTGCTGTGCATTTAGCTTATTTCTTCACCTTCTGCATTCACCATTGAAAGGGTGGTTGACACGTTGTATTGTGGTTTACAAATAGACTGTGATAGATGTGCACACTTTGGCCCAACTCATCTGTTTTCAGCAGAGCCCTGCTTAGTTGCCTTGTATGACATGCTTATTGTACAGAGAACTACTGCTTGCCGGTTATCTTGGGATGAGATCCTAATTGGAGCAAATTTGTATAATTAGCTTCAAAAGGGTACAAGGAAACTCATGGGAAATAAAGATGGCTGGCATTATAGAGACTTGAGTGCTGATTGCTCTGTGGGATTCTGGGACTTAGCACCTCCTTCCCCAAGTGCTAGTGGCTCCCAGAGCTGAAGCAAGTGCACATATACATTTCATCAGTTATACCCTCTCTTGAAGCAGTGAATGGTTACCTGCCCCTTCTGGTCAGGTATATGGTGGTTTTATTTTGAACCTTTCACTACCTTTTTTTTTAGATATTTGCCTTTTCATAAATTATGACTTCTTGTTCACTTTTGCATCCTATTTTATGAGCTTGTATGTTTGTTAATTTCTGGGTGCTCTACATTACTATGGTACCCATTAAAGTTTGGTTTGTTTTCTGGCAGCTTCCTTGCGCTCAACTTAGATTATGTGTAGCAGATGAAGATAGTTTTGAGTTTACTAAACATTTGACAATATATGATGTGATGTTTAATTTAATGCAATTTTGTTGTTATCTGCCTTCAACATTGTCTGCAGATGAATAGGGTGACTGTGTATCTGTGAGACACAAGATGACAAGAGACAGGCACGGGGTTGAGTTGTCCAGTGTGTGGTCTTCATATGTACTAGGTTATGACATAAATAATTTAGGTGTTCAGCTTCTGCCAGACAGTTTAGATATGACTGTAAAAACTAATGAGTTCATTTTATGAGACCTTGTTGGTGATAACTAGGAAATAAGACATCTAGGACATTGAACAAGTGTCAGTAATATGGGTCAGCAAGTGAGCATATAGTGTCTATGGTGTGAGTAAGCAGGCGAATCTGTATCTGTGGTATAAGTAAAGAAGGTGAACCTATGTCTGTGGTGTGGGTAAAGCATATGAACCTGTGGTGTGGGTAAAGCAGATGAACCTATGTCTTTAGTGGGGGTAAAGCAGGTGAACCTGTGTCTGTAGTGTGGATAAAGCAGGTGAACCTGTGTCTCTGGTGGGGGTAAAGCAGATGAACCTATGTCTGTGGTGTGGGTAAAGCAGGTGAACCTATGTCTGTGGTGTGAGTAAAGCAGGTGAACCTATGTCTGTAGTGTGGATAAAGCAGGTGAACGTGTGTCTGTGGTGTGAGTAAAGCAGGTGAACTTGTGTCTGTAGTGTGGGTAAAGTAGGTGAACATGTGTCTGTAGTGTGGGTAAAGCAGGTGAACATGTGTCTGTATTGTGGGTAAAGCAGGTGAATATGTGTCTGTAGTGTAGGTAAAGCAGGTAAACCTATGTCTGTATTGTGAATAAAGCAGGTGAACATGTGTCTGTAGTGTGGGTAAAGCAAGTGAACATGTGTCTGTGGTATGGGTAAAGCAGGTGAATATATGTCTCTGGTGTGGGTAAAGCAAGTGAGCATGTGTCTCTGGTGTGGGTAAAGCATGTGAACATGTGTCTCTGGTGTGGGTAAAGCAGGTGAACATGTGTCTCTTGTGTGGGTAAAGCAAGTAAACATGTGTCTGTGGTATGGGTAAAGCAGGTGAACATGTGTCTCTGGTGTGGGTAAAGCAGGTGAACATGTGTCTCTGGTGTGGGTAAAGCAGGTGAACATGTGTCTCTGGTGTGGGTAAAGCAAGTGAGCAAGTGTCTATGGTATAGGTCAGCAAGCGAATCTGTATCTTTGGTATGGGTAAAGCAGGTGAACATGTGTCTCTGGTGTGGGTAAAGCAGGTGAACCTGTGTCTGTGTTTTGAGTATGGCAGGTAACCTTATCCCTTCTATTACCAAGAAACACAAGAGATGTTCATGATTTACCACTGACCGGTATGAAAACACAAAGGGGACAGTTTGAATTATTCTGGTTATTTTTCATTTATTTCACACATATGGGGTTCTTTCGTTTACTGTTGTGCATTTTTAATGTCCAAAACTATAATTTCTGTTTCGGTTGGGTTACTCAGCAGTTTGTTTATAAGCAGTATGGCTGCTCAGTCATAGTCTTCATGTCCATCAAAGCAAGTGAGCATGTAGTGTCTATAGTGTGAGTAAGCAGGCGAATCTGTATCTGTGGTATAAGTAAAGAAAGTGAACCTATGTCTGTGGTGTGGGTGAAGAAAGGTGAACCTGTGTCTGTGGTGTGGGTAAAGCAGGTGAACCTGTGTCTCTGGGGGGGTAAAGCAGATGAACCTATGTCTGTTGTGTGGGTAAAGCAGGTGAACCTATGTCTGTGGTGTGAGTAAAGCAGGTGAACTTGTGTCTGTAGTGTGGGTAAAGCAGGTGAACCTGTGTCTCTGGTGGGGGTAAAGCAGATGAACTTGTGTCTGTAGTGTGGATAAAGCAGGTGAACATGTGTCTGTATTGTGGGTAAAGCAGGTGAACTTGTGTCTGTAGTGTGGGTAAAGCAGGTGAACATGTGTCTGTGGTGTGAGTAAAGCAGGTGAACTTGTTTCTGTAGTGTGGGTAAAGCAGGTGAACATGTGTCTGTAGTGTGGGTAAAGCAGGTGAACATGTGTCTGTAGTGTGGGTAAAGCAGGTGAACATGTGTCTGTATTGTGGGTAAAGCAGGTGAACATGTGTCTGTAGTGTGGGTAAAGCAGGTGAACATGTGTCTGTATTGTGGGTAAAGCAGGTGAACATGTGTCTCTGGTGTGGGTAAAGCAGGTGAACATGTGTCTCTGGTGTGGGTAAAGCAGTTGAACATGTGTCTCTGGTGTGGGTAAAGCAAGTGAACATATGTCTCTGGTGCGGGTAAAGCAAGTGTCTATGGTATAGGTCAGCAAGCGAATCTGTATCTTTGGTATCGGTAAAGCAGGTGAACATGTGTCTCTGGTGTGGGTAAAGCAGGTGAACCTGTGTCTGTGTTTTGAGTATGACAGGTAACCTTATCCCTTTTATTACCAAGAAACACAAGAGATGTTCATGTTTTTGATTTACCACTGACCGGTATGAAAACACAAAGTGGACAGTTTGAATTATTCTGGTTATTTTTCATTTATTTCACACATATGGGGTTCTTTCATTTACTGTTGTGCATTTTTAATGTCCAAAACTATAATTTTTGTTTCGGTTGGGTTACTCAGCAGTTTGTTTGAAAGCAGTATGGCTGCTCAGTCATAGTCTTCATGTCCATCAAAGCAATTTACCGCTCTAGAAACTTCCACTTTGATAAAACGGTAAATTGAGTTCTGAGTTGGATTATCTCCACAGCACTCCGACACATCCGTAGGGGCTTAGATTCCTCAGTGTTGTGCCAGTCCTATGCTCGTTGACAAGGCTTTGTGTGTGTCCAGTTTGCTTCTCATGCTTGGCTGTGCCAATCTTTTATCCCAATTCTTGTATTCTTAAGCAGTGATATGGACACCTTGCTTCCAAAGTCCTCAGAATGTCCTATCTCTCTAAGGGTATTGACAGTGTCTGCGTGATCCTTGGGCTGGCCATCTCCAGTTAATGCAGCACCTGCCAGTCTCTCAGCTGTTTAATTACCAACAACACCTGCATGCCTTGGAACAAATATGAAGGTAACTGCACACACATCAGAGTTTTGCAATGACTCAGTCAACTGTCTGCCTAACCAGCCTGCCTCGACCAAGCCTGCCTCGATATACCAAGATATCGGGTGATGAAGGGAGATACTTGCAGTTGGAGAAGTATGTGCATCAAGTATTCAAATGGTACTATGTTGTACGCATTCTCTAAGTCTAGTGTGGCTGCATATGTCTTTTCTCGCCCGGCTCTCTAGCGGAATTGGCTAAACTGGATTTCGCGGAGACCGGGTGACGTACTCCTTGTGGTCCGGGTTCAATCCCGGGGGTAGGCAGGAAAGCCACATTTTCTCCCAGATTGACGGTATTTACAATGGAATCAAGGCCGAAAGGTTGCGATATCCATAATACCGAGCCTAAGGGTTAACAACTCATGGCTTCTGGATACTAAAACAAACAAACAATGTCTTTTCTCTGATCTGTAATTCTTCATAGATTTCACAGGCGAAAACTGCTGCATTGAGCCATGTCTCTTTACTTCATCTGTATCCTCCAAGTGTGGATGGTAACATGTCATGCTTTTCCAAGTCATCAGCCAGTCTGTGTGCTACAATTTTCTCCAGAAATCATGGGTTGATTAGAGTAATGACTTCTGTGATGACAATAATGATGTAGAATTCTCTCAGCCCTTCAAAGAGTTCTGATGAATGATCTGAGTGAAAAATCTGTTTAATATAATAAGGGCAGCAGATGATGTAACAATAAAAAGAGTGAAAGATCTGTTTAATGGAATAAGGGCAGCAGATGATGTAACTATAAACAGAGTGAAAGATCTGTTTAATAGAAGAAGGGCAGCAGATGATGTAACTATAAATGGAGTGACAGATCTTTTAATAGAATAAGGGCAGCAGATGATGTAACAATAAAAAGAGTGAAAGATCTGTTTAATGGAATAAGGGCAGCAGATGATGTAACTAT